CAGAAAGGCGCACCCGTGCATCGAGGGCTGGTCGGCAAAGGAGGTGCGTAAGCTGCTCGAGGCGACCGGGCTCGGCCGCTTCGCCGCCGCCTTCTTCTCGCGCGGCGTGGGCGGCGACGAGCTGCTGCGCATGTCCGGCGACGAGCTCCGCGCGGTGATGGCGGAGCAGGCCAGCAGGGAGGAGGCGAGCGCAAGGGAGGCGGCTGCTCAGCTGCTGGCGGCGCAGCTGGAGATGCTGCGGGCGCGCGAGTGCTGACGCGCCGGACGCCGTGACGGGGCATACTGCGGCCGCTGCAGGGGGGGGCGCAGGGAGGGGCCGTGTGCGGCCGCGTGTGTCCCGCGCCGCCGCCACGCGTCTGTCTGTTTTCCTCACTGACCGCGCGTAAACACAGCCGCTTGGAGTGTGAAGGCGTCGTAGCCCTCCGGTCTACTAGGAGATCCGCAGGACTGGAGCGAAAAAAAGTGGCGTAAACACTACAATGCTGGGGCGTAAACGTATTCGTACAGCTGACGTTACGGAGAGACGTACACTGGTGCGCAGGATGCCGGTGCAGCCAGTGGCAGTGCCCACACGCCACACCACCACAGCTAGAGTGTAGAGAGGTCTAGGACTCAAGGAAGTGACGTGGCTTGCGGGGCCCGGCGGTCTTGAGCGATGTCCGTTTGGCTTGTGATAGGTGTTTTCGATATTCGTTCTCGTTAAATTCCGTCGCGCGTCGAGACTAAAACCGTCGGTTCTATTTCGACCTATTTCGCGCTTAGAGGTGGGCCTTCGGCCTTCGCGCTTGGTAGGGGTTATTCTCGGTGCGGCGCTCCAAGCGTCTCCCGACTCACACGAGGTGGATTGCACGTCATGGTGGCGGCTGCGGGAAGTATAACGTCGCTGGCACCGGCCGTAGCCCCCCGAGCGCCGCCTGCACCCGAGGCGCTGGCACCGGCAGCGGCCCTTGCAGAGGGAGCTGAGCACGAGATGCGTAGACCGCGGTCGGCACGGCGACAAGTGGGGAGTGGCCGCACGATGGTAAGGCGGCGAACGGCACCGGCACCGGCACCGGCACCGAGGCCGGCGCCGGAGCCGCAACTGCGACGCCGCCAAGAGGCACCGGCGGCTGCTGCAGCTGCAGCGACTCGTCGACGGAGGCGATGAAACTCTGGCCCGTCGCGCGCAGGAGGCGCAGGAAGTCGCGGATGATGGCGCGCCCGCCACGGCGCTTGCGCTCCACACAACAAACTGCATATGTCTGCCGCAGGTTGTACGCGGTGGCGACGAGAATGCCCCGATCGGTCGCCGAGTGGAATAGCTCGCGCGGCGGCAGCCAGGTGGTGCGGTCTAGGTTGGCGGGGATGAGGTCGAGCAGCGTCTGCCACGTCTGTCGCGAGCCGAGCAGCGATTCGGCCTGCTGCGCCGCCGCCAATCCTGCGGCGTTAGCGGATGAAGCTGCCGCCGCAGCAGCAGACGTGCCCTGCCCGGGAGGGGCGCCCAGCCACGGCGGATGATGCTGCCCAGTGTGCTGAGGCTGCGGTGGCAGGAGCGGCCGAGGTGGCGGTGGGAGCTGTGATGGCGCGCACTGAGCGTGGCCAGCGGGCGGCTGCGCCCCGGACAGCAGGCGCGTATCAGCGCCGTCCGGAGCATGGGTCGCGCTGGCAGCCACGACGACCGTACCCTCCACAGTTCTGCGCTTAGGCTAAGCTCAAAAAAAATATTCGAACTGGCCCCCGCGAGCGTGGAATTGGACCGACGCAAGCGGCGTGGCGTGGGGCGGTTGAGCGTCCCTCCGGGGGCCCCTCTGCGCCGGGGAGGCGTTGTGGGAGGCTAGGACGCAAGCGTCCATCGCCTTTTTCAAACCACTCCCTTTGTTCTCTTCTCATAAAATCGGAGGGTCGGCCCACGGGGGGACTTCGTGAACTGAAGCGACCCAACGATTTTATGAGTGGCAGCAAAGGGAGTGA